TCCTCGGTGTCGTCGTCGTGTACTCTAAATCGTTTAGTTTGTTAGTATATAAATATAGTACACTATTATATATATATATATATATATATATATATATATATATATATACAAGTACACCTTCTACTGAATTAATCTTGCAGTTACGTCTGACTAAAACATTTAACTTGTACCATTCTAGAATATCAATAAATATAAAGATCCACAAAGGCTGTTGAGTCAGAAAAAAAGCATAAATTCAGATATTTTTCAACAACAGTTGAACTTTAAAATCCAAAAATCGTTGAGCTATAAAGAACTGCATACTTCCATTTTTTAATGTTGCATTTTTTTTTATATTCAGTAATCTTTGATTAAAATGCATTAACAAAAATGTGAACAACAAACCATAACATTTCAGTAAAGCTGAGGATATCTTGAATCTATTAAAAGAGATTTTATATTTATAATAAAGGTAAACACAATATGTTTTCATATAAGTTAACTATTCTATTAGTAGGTAGTCTCTGCTGATACTTTAGTACTTGTAACTACCATCCTTTAAGACAAGTATCTTCTACTAGTTAACTATTAACTGATGCAGGTAGTCCCTACTGGTATGTTAGTACTTGTAACTACCATCCCTTAAGACAAGTATCTTCTACTAGTTAACTATTAACTGATGCAGATAGTCCCCACTGGTATGTTAGTGTTTGTAACTACCATCCCTTAAGACAAGTATCTTCTACTAGTAAACTATTAACTGATGCGGGTAGTCCCTACTGGTATGTTAGTACTTGTAACTACCATCCCTTAAGACAAGTATCTTCTACTAGTTAACTATTAACTGATGCAAATAGTCCCCACTGGTATGTTAGTGTTTGTAACTACCATCCCTTAAGACAAGTATCTTCTACTAGTAAACTATTAACTGATGCGGGTAGTCCCTACTGGTATGTTAGTACTTGTAACTACCATCCCTTAAGACAAGTATCTTCTACTAGTAAACTATTAACTGATGCGGGTAGTCCCTACTGGTATGTTAGTACTTGTAACTACCATCCCTTAAGACAAGTATATTCTAACTGTTAACTATTAACTGATGCAAATAGTTCCCACTGGTATGTTAGTGTTTGTAACTACCATTTTGTAAGATGAGTATCTTCTATTAATTAACCATCTCTTAAGACAAGTATCTTCTACTAGTTAATTATTAACTGATGCAGGTAGTCGCTGCCGATACTTTAGTACTTGTAACTACCACCTTGTAGGATAAGTATTTTCAGTTAGTTCGCTATTAACTGATGCAGGTAGTCTCTGCCGATACTTTAGTAGTTGTAACTACCACCTTGTAAGATAAGTATTTTCAGTTAGTTCGCTATTAACTGATGCAGGTAGTCTCTGCCGATACTTTAGTACTTGTAACTACCACCTTGTAAGATAAGTATTTTCAGTTAGTTAGCTATTAACTGATGCAGGTAGTCTCTGCCAATACTTTAGTACTTGTAACTACCATCCCTTAAAACAAGTATCTTCTACTAGTTAACTATTAACTGATGCAGGTAGTCTCTGCCAATACTTTAGTACTTGTAACTACCAACTTGTAAGATAAGTATTTTCAGTTAGTTAACTATTAACTGATGCAGGTAGTCTCTGCCAATAATTTAGTACTTGTACCTACCATCTCTTAAGACAAGTATCTTCTACTAGTTAACTATCAAATGATGTATTTCCTACATGTATATTTAGCAAGTATTTGTAACTGCCACTTGAGATAATTATTTAATTAGCAACTGATGTAAGTATTCTCTATTAATATGTCAGTATTTGTAACAAAATCCTGTAAGACAAATGTCTTCTATTAGTTAACTGTCATCTGAAGAATACACCATCTAATGATTATTTTTCAGGATATGTGTCCTCCACTATTTTTTGTTTTTGAATAATAAACCTTCAAGGATTTGTTAACATCTGAAAGAATATGCTCTATGACATGTGAGTAACTTTGAAAGTTATATCTATTCATCACATGTGGTAAGTAAGTAAATTAATAATCATTCACTTTGAAGACAAAGTTTTACAGTTTCTGTTCACTTACTTTTTTGCTCTTTCCCCCATAGATGCAATTTCTCCTAAGATATTTTGAACCATTGCTGTCACTTCCTGCACTGCTTGAAGCTTCTCCTTCAAGGACTTCTTTTCTTCCTTATGTGTTATAGAAGTGAAGCTCAAATATTATGTTCTACGTTACAAACTAAAAATTATTCAACTTAAAGTACATTTTATCTATAGATTCTGTGAATGTACATAAAAGACTTTTCTTATCTTAATAGCACAAATAATTAAAATATGTACAGTTTTTTGTACATCTTTTCCAGCTTATCTCAAACACTTGATACTTTCTCAGGAAGCTAAGGAATCTTTTACTCTAACTAGCAATGAACATAATTGAAAGATTGAATGCCATTTGTAGTTACAAGATTTTATAGTTAACGACTTTCTGTGACTGAAAATCTAAGCTATTGTGCTAATGATAATACTTATCATTCTTGAACAAATTAATAAATACAATATCACAAGGTTACTCAATATCTCATAAAAATGGGATGAATTTACAAAGCTGTATAAGAAACGTTTTTTATCAATTGGAATATTATATGAATTTTTAAGAGGTTTAATCAAAAATACAAATAAGAGCTTCTAAGTAATTTAATTTCCCTTAAAAGATTTCCATGGAGCTTGTACATAATATGCTTAGTTATTGCTGCTTGAGTGACAAGAATGTAAACTTGCACAAATTTGTGTACAGTTAGATATTTGGTAATATCTAGATTTGTAATATTGCACGAATTTGTGCACAGTTAGATATCTGGTAATATCTAGATTTGTAATATTGCACGAATTTGTGCACAGTTAGATATCTGGTGGAATTCAAATTTGTAATATTGCACGAATCTGTGTACAGTTAGATATCTGGTAATATCTAGATTTGTAATATTGCATGAATTTGTGCACAGTTAGATATCTGGTGGAATTCAAATTTGTAATATTGCACGAATTTGTGCACAGTTAGATATCTGGTAATATCTAGATTTGTAATATTGCATGAATTTGTGCACAGTTAGATATCTGGTGGAATTCAAATTTGTAATATTGCACGAAACTGTGTACAGTTAGATATCTGGTAGAATCCAGATTTGTAATACTTATTATCCATGGTATTATGTCAGGATTAGAAGATCTTCCATGTGGTACAATTTAAGTTAAGCCATAAAATTGCAAGCGAAGAATGATCTGAACATATGTAGTTTCACAGCAGAGAATATGGTTAATTTATTATATGTTAAGCCAAGTATACAAAAAACGGTCTCAATCAAGTAAAGTTTCCATAAAGAACTATCTTTATAATACTTAAAAATGCTAAATTTATGTCACATCTTTCATTTTAGTAACACCTTTAGATTAATTAAAATATACAAATGTATGCAATAGTCACATCATTTTGTACAATGCAAACACATGCAGGTGAGCCAAAACTCATTACAGAGAACAGTACTTATACTCTTAATTTGAACATCACATAACTGTTAGCATATCCCTACCAAAGGCTTCATACCAAAATCTCTAACAGTTATATCTTTCATTCTAAAACAGACAAAGAGGTGAACCCATAACCAGCAAATTTTACAGCAACCATATCTTTTAACTTTTATAATTCTGAAGTGAGACCTATTATTACCAGTCTCTAGTAGTTACTTTTTTCTCATCCTTAATAATATGCTGGGATGAGCCATATGCAACAAAGTCTGTGATAACTACATGTACATTTCTCACCATATACAATACACAAGTAGAAGCCAAAACTTACCAAAATTCTGTGATTTTTATACATGATAAATAAAATATTATTAAAACCCAACTCCTGAGTAGTGACAAATGTTGAAAACCCCATCATATATCAGTAGAATAATCTTGCATATGACTGCTAAATTCTTAATTAATCTTCATGGTTTTTATTTTTGATGATATATATATTTGCCGAAAAGAAAAATGTAATATTACAGACTAACAATACTTTCTTAAGACATAGATGACATAAGCTTTTATTGATATTATCCACAATTTCATTCTATAGTAGCCTGAAGTTTACAATAAGGTATTAAAAGAAAATCTTTATGTTTACCCATTCTTACTAATCTATACATTGATGTAAAGTACGTATTTTTAATATATGATAGAACTGCATTCTTATACAAAGAATCTTGAATCATGTCATAAACTGAAATGAAAATATTGAACAAAACTTTTTCACATAATTTCCTGACACTTTAACTTACCCCCTTAGTATCTTTACCATCATCTTCTTCTTCTTCATCATCATCTTCAAAATCCTGAAAAAAATTAACATAAGAATATTGCATATAATGATGACTAATCACTAAATTTCACCACATGTAATTAAATAATGTTTTATTTTAAAGCCCATAAAAGGGCATATTCTTACCTTATTTGAGGTTGATATGACAAAGTATGTTTATATTTTAATAGAATATATGACACTAAAACAAATATGTATGTAAAATTTTATAATTTCTTAAAACATTTTGAACAAAAAAACTTAACCACTTATAAGAAAGGTTACATATTACAAACCATAACTTATAAGTTCCTTGTTAGTTTTCTTCATGGTTTTCATGATTATGTAGATTGCCATTAAATATCACGAGATTTGTCTCTAAGTTAAGAGTAGTTTAAATCACAAGAAAGGCAACAGACATCAAATGTAGCCCCAACTTGTATGTAGTGATAACAAAGGCCTGAAAAATATTATGTAATATAATTTTACGAAAAAAAACTACCCATAACTATAGAAATTGATACATTGTAATAGAATTTCTAAGTATGTCATAAATGATTGAATCACTCAATTATAATGTGTAGGTAAAAAAAAACAACTGTCAATCCTATTTAACTAATGAGAATCATAGTTACAAATGAAACACATTTAATTTACTATTCTGTTAGTAAAGAAAAACTCATCATAACTGTTAGTTTGTCTCTAAGAAAAATAACTGTTTATTAACCTTCATACTGTTATAATAATTGAATTAGCTATCTTACTCACCATGATCATCGTATTAATTATCAAAATCAATTAAAATGACCAATCAATAAATAGGTTAATTGCTTATATCATGTAGATTTAGCTTTTAATTATGTAATATGATTACCACTATTTGTTTTTTGTTTTGGATTCCATGAGGGCTATTGACATTATTAATATCTAATTCTGAAGTGGTAGACTAGAGGAAAGACGGCTAGTAAACATCACCCACAGGCAACTGTTGGGCTATTCTTGTCAGACCAAATAATGGGATTTGACCATTAGTCATATAACACAACAATAACCTCAAAGTGTGTACTGCTAACCACTGGGTACACATTTTACTCAATTACCATTGACAACTAATCTGTTAAGAATAATTTGATGTTACACATAACATTTACCTGTTTAATTATAAACCAGTAAATTTTAACATTAACCTTATACTAAAAGAAACATTATTGCACAAGATTACAACATGCTTCACTATCAGTTTTTGTTAAGTTGATAATTAAAGGAATAAAATGAAATACAGAGGTGTACATTAATGTGCAGAGGACATTAAGAAGTGCAGGAGGTCATTGACATAAAAAGGCATATTTCAAGTATTGTAAGGGAAGATTTGGGGGGAAGAGTATTATGGGAAGATATGGGGGCTGTGGGTTGCCTCTGATACACATAGGGTAGAAAGCCATGAGAAGCAAACAGATCATCCTTTATTCCTATTAAATTGGTCTTAGAAACACATTTGAAATTTAAACCTAAGCAGTGAAATCTTCTGTACTAACACTTAATATATATCACAATTATTTTTTTACAGTAAAGACCTACAAGTCCCTGTGTAATACTTAGTTATTTATTGTTTTTTTTACCTAATAACTCGTATAAAGCAAGATAAAGACCTACAAGTCCCTGTGTAATACTTAGTTATTTATTGTTATTTTTTACCTAATAATTCGTATGAAGCAAGATAAAGACCTACAAGTCCCTGTGTAATACTTAGTTATTTATTGTTGTTTTTTACCTAATAACTCGTATAAAGCAAGATAAAGACCTACAAGTCCCTGTGTAATACTTAGTTATTTATTGTTTTTTTACCTAATAACTCGTATAAAGCAAGATAAAGACCTACAAGTCCCTGTGTAATACTTAGTTATTTATTGCTGTTTTTTTACCTAATAAATCGTATAAAGCAAGATAAAGACCTACAAGTCCCTGTGTAATACTTAGTTATTTATTGTTGTTTTTTTACCTAATAACTCGTATAAAGCAAGATAGAGACCTACAAGTCCCTGTGTAATACTTAGTTATTTATTGTTGTTTTTTTACCTAATAACTCGTATAAAACAAGATGTGGAATCAGACATACCTTTTAGTAGTTGTTGAAAAGTTTTCATGTCTGAGGAAAGGGGTACTTTGGGGCATAAAGATTTAGATTATTTGGTGAGTTGGGAAAATAAATGGCAAATAGGTTTTAAATATAATAAATGCAAGATATTGCAAGTGGGTTATAATCTGAATTATAAGTATAGTTTGAATGGGAATAACTTTAACAGTGTTATGAAAGAAAGGGAACTTGGTGTAGTGGTTGGTTAATTTCTTAAGCCATCCAGGCAGTGTGCTGCTGCTAGTGGTAGGGCAAATAGGATTTTAGGTTGTATCTACACTGATTAGGCCACATTTGGAATATTGTGTTCAGTCTTGTGCTCCTTACCTTAGGAAGAACACTGAATTGATGGAAATAGTTCAGAGGAGGGTTACTAGAATGGTGCCTGGAATAGAGGGAAGAGATTAAGATCTCTGAAAATATTTTTTCTTGAAAAAAGAAAAGTTAGAGAGGATCTGATTGAGGTGTTTAAGATTGTAAAGGAAATTGATAGTGTTGATGCATCATCATTTTTCATACTTAATGGTGAGAATAGTAGGACTAGAGGACACAAATATAAATGTTGGCAGGGTAGAAGTCATCTTCAGCTAAGACAATTTTATTTTTATAATAGGGTGGTTGGCAAGGCCACATTAACTGTGGCACCAGGACTCCAAGTGGTGAAGGGCACCTACTGACGATTTTTAGCTAAGACAGTAATATTTTTCTAACAGGGTGGTTGGCCTTTGGAATGGGTTGCCATCAGATGTTGTGGAGACAGTAAATTTGCATGAGTTTATGAAAAAGCTTGATAAACTATATGAATGATAAGGGCTGGCTTTGAGGTTGCTTTTTTTTATTTAATAGTTTTAGTTTAGTTTAGAGGACAGAACAGCCTAGATGGACCAATAGGTCCCTTGTTGTTATTTATAAGATAGGAGCTTGAGCCACCACCCACATCCAACTCGGTGCATGTCACTGGTACTGTAAATTCATTCTGGCTTCTTTATATGAATATTTAATGAATAAGTGAAATTTATCATGAAAGCATAAAAACATGTAACCAAAACATACAACATAAAATAAAACAAAAAATGCTCTATAACTACCTCTTCTTCATCACGATTAATAAAGCTTAGCCCTGTCACAGTGATAATGATGTAATTCTTCAAAAAAACTAAGAGAAGGACAATGGGCACCATATACAACTCCACTGTGTAAATAATGATGAGAAAAGCCTGAAAAACAGTAATATGCATTTATTTCAGCTTCAATTAAGTGATGAAGAATTAAATCGAGTTGTTAATCTTTAGCTAGGCCTTAGAAAAATATGAAACATCTCACATAAAACTGCATCAATCAATAAAATGTTTGTTACTAACAAACATAACAGGTAACCAGTAACCATGGTAGCACATTTTTTATCACTAATTATTTAGAATATTCTGTGATTAAAAACTGTCAATAGCCATCAATAATATTGAGAGTTTTGTAATATGAAGTTAACAGTATAAAGATAAAAATTTTAGATTTTCGATAAGTCTCAAGAGAAGACAAAATTAATAATGTTATAATTATTATATTCTTGAAATGATGAACTCTATTTCAAAAACACCAAAACAGCTTGTCTGTATCAGAAAATAGCTAATAGTACAGTATGAAGTAAATCTCCTCCACCCCACACAAATGAAATACAAATATGATGTAAAGAAATATTTGAAATCTTTCAATTTACAGGATGTTAATTTTTATATATGCAAATATTACCATAAATCATACTTGCTATAGGCCAGCATGTTTACTTATAATGTTTAATGATCATAGTATCTTAATAAATGAATCATAATTTGTTTTTAAACACTAGTTATAAAGCAGGATTAATTAAAGACACATGAATATGTATGTACACATACACATATTTATCTATTATATTATACTGACCCAGGTAAAATAAGTAAAAATTATTAAACAAAAAATATACATACAGGAGAGCCCAATATCATTGAAACAAAGAAAATGATCTTGTTAAAAATGAACTGGTAATTTCTGTCACATATTTTTCTATCAATTCTTTCTACTGTTTCAAATAATTGGAATATAAAAGTAAACAATTATGGCTTAATCTAAATATCTTTTCAAGCCATTTCTTTATCCTGTAAATCTATTGATTAATTTGTTTCATTTAATAACTTTCGTACATGAAAATAAGTCAGCAAAGAGTATGTTTTGTTAATGTTCTCACAATACCATAATGCTTCTCGGATTTTATTATCAATATTCCACCTCTTACATTAAATCTAAAAGCATACTATTTGATCAGCTTCAGAAAATATGTCCTAACAGACTCAAACTGTTGAAGTTATTAAATGAATTCAAACTTACAATGAAAGCTACAATGCTTCGTGGAGCAGATTCCCACTGAAAACAGCTATTAAGAAACTTGGCCACTTCAACAAAATCCAGTGCCATTGTTTTCATTCTATGTACATTTCTCATAAAAATCTATATTGAAAAAAAAACATAAAAAACAATTCAACGTTTAAGAAGTTTAGATATTTTTATAATAATGGTACAATTTCAATGACAGAAAGTTTTTTAAAATATCACCTTTGTAAACTGCAACATATTGGTCCTAAATATGATATAAAATAATGTTAAATTTTGTTTGTGAATCATTTTGAATTGTTATCTTGAATCTAAAAGCTTGTTATTAGAGAATCTCATTTGTTTCTTCAAAGCAGACTATCTATGAGAATTAAAGTAAACTTAATTCTACTTATCTTTTCAAGCTTTAATTTACAACAAATTAAAAAATATATATTTATACTTGTATCATAACAAAGCTGGTTTCATCACAATAACAAAAATTCAAATTAAACAAGATTCTGCCAATTGTATTATAAAATGAAATATGATTATATGGTTCTAATGAAATGAATAAACAAAAACACACACCGATCTTTTAAACTTCTGCTCAGATTGCATGTATTTAACTTCCTTGGGATTGAATGTTCTAATACTTGCTCTTACCTACAAAAAACAATTGTGGAAATTGTTAATTACACAACAGAAAATATTTTTACCTATTTTCTATCTAATCTATTGAAGAAGAAATAAATTAAGAAATTTAATTAGTCACAAAAACTGATTTGATAATTAGAAAAAACTTATGTTTTAATCTTAGTGTTATTTAAAAAATTCCTAGAAAATCATGGAAAGAAAACCCATTTATTATAATAAAACAATTAACAATTTACATACACTAAAGTGATTTAACAATGAAGTACAATGTAAACTTCAACAAAACACTAATTATCTGAAATGATCTTACTTGAAAGGTATCTCAATGAAGCTAATGAATAGTAACCAAAATAATATATGTATAAAAAGTACATAAATAAGTTTAAAAAGTTGTGTTTCTGCTAAAAATGCAACACTATTAAGATAGAATTTAACATGCATATTTGAATAACATTCCATGTTTATGTTGTAATCAATCATTACTCAAAAGATATTACACATTTTTATAACAATGTTTTATTGTACAAAAAAAACAACAGAAGACAACTACATTTTTAGTAAATAAATATACATATACATCCTTTTATTACATATGGTTATGTACATACTTAACTCCTCAACTATATTATATCTTACCATTATGAACTACCTGAGTTTTAGGTTCTACTATTATATCCAGAAATGTAATTAAATTACATTTATACAAAATGCCATAATAAATGCTATAATCTAAACATTATACCCTTTAACCTCAATTCATATATCACATGAACAATAATTTACAAAACTTACAGGGTTATATACAATGTCCAACTCCAAAAGAATCTGGCCTTTAGCACGACCTCTCAGTTTTTTGTCCTTTAATGCATACCATCGTTTCTCACCATTCTTGATCTGTTGAAAGGTGATTTTATTCTTTTGAGGGCTTATTAAACAAAAGTTACTAGCTTAGCATAAAATGCCTAAGACTCAAAAACTAATCAAATAAAATTTTGTTTTGTTGGTGTCAACATGTGAAAAGATATTTTAACAACACTGTTTCAGTTTATACTTCAAAACATTAGGAATAAATCTGTTAAAAAAATCAAGTATCCAGAAAAAAGAACACAAAACGTTTTATTTCTCCATTACAAAAGAGAGTATATCATCTATAATATATGCCATAAACATATAAAACTTTTGTATGTTGTGTCATTAAGCTAATAATTTATTGACCGATATGCTATTAAATTTATAGATGACTGTTTAAAAAAGTTTGCTAAACAGTCTATGTTGAAATTATTTCTGTTTATTACAACTCAGTTATTAGAGCAGTTGATTAAATCAGCCAATCTTAGCAGAACTTATAAGAACATGAGTAGTATTTGTGATTATCATGGCCATCAAGACTTAACAGGTCCTATAACTTTGTGTAGTCATGTTGTTGGTGAACTCAGCCAGGCTTAGTAGATCTTATGATCAGTTATGACAGTATGCACTTTTGTCATTTCATTGTTAAACTGCATATCATAAAATATTTCCTTATGTTAGTAGTTTCTTAGAAAAATTTTATTCAAAGAAAGAATATCAAAAAGGCATATATAACTTACAGAAGATTCTCATTAAAAAGTCATTATTGTGTTATTGTCAAAGTGAATGAACTTAATCAAAAAACGTTTAAGGTGCAAAATATTAATTTACCTTTAGCAAAGGAATAGAAACTTTTCCAAGAAACTCACACCGTTTATCACGATCTTCATCATACACAGTAACCTCCAACACAGAATGGATGTCCTTTACTAGACTTTTTACCAAAAAATAAAAATATTATTTGAAAAAATAATCATAGAATATATGTGATGTTCAAATACAATATTTATTGTTTTAATTTGAAAGTTAACGAACAATGTTTGAGAAAAAATTGTGACAAATTAAATAATCTATATTTCTCATTGAATAAATAGTTATAAATACCATTTTTCATCAGTTATATTGAATTCTTCTGTTTAGTATGATCACAAATGGCTACTGGTATTTGATACCGAATATATATTTTCAGGCTATAAGTATAAATACAATAGTTAAGACTAGTGCAGAAATTAAGCCTTCACAGTTTGTTAGGTGAAATGGGTGCAATGAGTGGATTTTATCTAGAAACTCGGGACTGGCACATCCTTTTAATGAAGATAATAATGAAGATGTGCAATTTGTACATAGAGATTGTAGGATGGAGGAGAAGTTGGAGGCTATCATAATTAAAGTAAACGCAATAGATAAAGAGAATTGTAAAGTGTGGGAAATGGCAGCAGGGTTTCAAGAGGAGCTTAAGCTTTTACATGCAAGGAACACATCAGCTAACATTTATTTCAGGAAGTAAGAAACAGTACTATTAAGGTTAAAAGTTGTGAATTTAATTGTAATGAGCCTATTTATTGAGCAACAGATTTCAGCCCTTGGCTTCTGCAGATGAGGAACTATTGGAGGGAAGGAAAATAAAAGGGTCAGAGAAGGATGTGAATCATAAAGAGGTTATAGTTATAGGTGATTTCTTGACAAGGCATGTGGATAGGATAGTCTGTGGGGTAAATAGGGAGAAAAGAATCAGATTATGCTACCCAGGGGCACAGGTGGAGGATATAACTAACAGAGCAGGATATACAATAAAGGGGGTTAGCAGAGATGCAGTTTTTATGGTGCACATATGGGCCAATGATGTAGGGAAAGGTAGGTCACAGGAACTAATTAATAAGCACAAGGGGTTGATAAAGGCATTTAAAGAAAAAGGCCACAACTTAACTTTGTCAGGGATACTGCCCAGATATAAATGTGTGGATGAAGTTATAAGTAGGTCACTAGGGCTAAATGCTATGCTTAGATCAGTATGTAAAACTAAGCAGATTGGCTGTTTGGACTTGTGGGATCAGTTCAGTAGAAGAAAGGAACTTTTTGGAATGGGTAGTTTACATTTAAATAAGATAGGGGTTGGCTTGTTTGCTACAGGTATTAACTCAGCTGTAAGGGAAGTTTTAAAGTAGGACTAGATAGTGGTGAGGGCCAGGATAAACTAAATACAAAAAGAATAAGAGGCTGAGAAAAGTGTAGCATTGGAAATGAGTATAGAAGGGTAGGCTTAATTGTCACTACTGTCATGTTAGAAGTATAAGAAAAAAAAAAGATGACTTTAGAGCACTGGTAGGAATGAGTAATTTTGATATAATGGAAATAACTGAAACATGGTTAAATGCAAATGATTTTGATGACAAGAAATATCTTAGAAATACAGGGTTACAAGCTGTCTAATAGGGATAGAGTACTTAAAAGGGGGGAAGAAGGAGTGGCTTTATATATAAAATGTGAGTTACATCCTGTTCAAGTTGAGGATATCAAAGATAATAGCAAGGAGATTGAATCTATCTGGGTTTCTATTAATGAATATAAAGGGAAAAGGCTTTAAATGGGAAGTTGTTACAGACCACCAAATGATACTGATTAAATTAGTGAGAAACTTTACAATGAGATTAAGATTTCAGCTGTTAATCAAGTCATAATTATGGGTGATAGATGGAAACAAGATCGAACTAGATGATTGCATTAATTCTGAGCTGGTTAAGAAAAAACTGGGAAGTTTAAAGAACGATAAGGCTCCTGGACCAGACAATATTTCCCCAAGGGTTTTGAAGGAGGCTAAAGATTGGATATGTGAGCCACTTACTACTATTTTTTGTCAGTCTTTGAATAGTGGGCAGGTATCAGAAGATTGGAAGTTAGGTAATGTAACTCCTCTTTCAAGGGAGACGATACAAATTGTTCCAGTAATTATAGACCCATTAGTCTTGCATCAGTTGTGGAAAAAGTTTTGGAAAGTCTGATAAAAGATGCTTTGCAAACACATTTAACATAGTTTAGAATTTTATTGGATAGTCAACATGGTTTCACTAAGGGAAAATCTTTCCTTACAAATCTTTTGACATTCTTTGAAAAGATTACTGCTTATGTAGATGAAGGTAAGAGTGTAGATATGGTGTATCTGGATTTTCAGAAAGCATTTGATAAGGTGCCACATAAAAGGCTTGTAAAAAAAATCATCTCTATAGGTGTGGGGAATAAGATAGCGAATTGGATAGAAAAGTGGCTGGATGGAAGAAAGCAGAGGTTTATACAAATGGAATTCAGTCAAACTGGGTTAATGTCACAAGTGGGGTACCTCACAGCTCAGTCTTAGGACCTTTTCTCTTTCTGATTTGCATCAATGACATATATGAAAGAATGGTCAATAAATTACTTAAATTTGCAGATGATATTAAGGTCTTGGATGTTGCTAGCTGTGAAGAGGATGCTGCTGATTTACAAAAGGATTTAGATCATTTAGTGAGTTCGGCAAATAAGTGTCAAATGGGTTTTAATTATAATAAATGCAAGATAATACATGTGTGTTATCATAATTTGAATTATAAGTATAATTTGGATGGGAATAACCTGAACAGTGTCATGAAAGAAAGGGATCTTGGTGTAATAGTTGATCAGTCTCTAAAGTCACCCAAGAAGAGTGCTGTTGCTAGTAGTAAGGCAAATAGGATTTTAGGTTGTATCTACAGAAATATTGAATACAAGTCTGAAGAGGTTATAATTTCACTGTACAGGTCATTGGTTAGGCAACATTTGAAGTATTGTGTTCAATCTAGGGCTCCTTTCCTTAGGAAACACATTGAATTGTTGGAAAGTGTTCAGAGAAGGGTTACTAGAATGATGCCTGGGATAGAGGGGTTGTCATACAAGGAGAGGTTAAGATCTCTCAAATTGTTTTCTCTTGAAAAAAGAAGAGTACGAGGGGATCTGGTTGAGTTGTTTAAGATTGTAAAGGGAATTGATAGTGTTGATGCATCATCTTTTTTCATACTTAACAGTGAGAATAGTAGGACTAGAGAACACAAATATAAATGTTGGCAGGGTAGAAGTCATCTTCAGCTAAGACAATTTTATTTTTATAACAGGTTGGTTGGCAAGGCCGCATTAACTGTGGTGCCAGGACCCCAAGTGGTGAAGGGAACCTATTGACGATCTTGACTGTCAGTTTAACTCTCTTTTTTTTTGATAAATCTTTATATTTTATGTTTTGTTCTGTTCTTACTCAATACAGACTAGATCAATTTGACCAACTTTATAACCACCATAAAAAAATACAAAATAAATCAAAATGATAATTTTTTCTTTCTAGAATTACTTCAAATAGTGGCAGAAAACATTTAAAACTTCTTAACCTTATACAACCATTTATAATTAAATTTTATTGTTTTATTGCCTTTGGGACCATGATTTTTAAGATTTCCACCATAAGAATTGTCAAAATATGTGGTAAGATGAAGCAATTGTTACACTAACTAAGTTACATAAAGCTCATGCTACTCGTGAGCTTGTTAGTCCTCGCGAGTATACCTCATAGAAAAATATTATTATCATTATATATATATTTATTTATATTACATAATTTAACCTTATCTAGTCTAAAAGTTTTACATTTTTAGTTACTTTTATAATAATAAAGAATAAATAAGAAAAACAAGAAATATATCATTCACCTATGTAGTCATTTTTTTCCCTATCAACTGTCCTTCTAAGTTAGCCCTACTACTTTATATCAATGCTACTAGTCCACAAAATAATTTTTGTAAAGTAGGTAATGTAGGGAATAACACAGAATAATTTCATGTGAACAGCTGAGAAACTGGTCTTTCTGTGATAAATTTTCTGTCTCTCTAATCAACTGACTTGAGCAGTTAGAAATTCAACTTTAGCTCCCACTATGTTCTCATGGGAAAGAAATTTTTCTCTTCAGCTAAATTTTCAATTATATGAAATATCAGTTCATTGATTATGAAGATGTAATTAGATATTTTGTTTCTGCCAAACCAAGGAAAAAATATTTTAGGGTAATGTTTTGGTATGCTTCCATAATGTTGTACAATAACTATATTGTTTTTTATGTACCTAATTTATTCTTACTTGCCATGTTGTACAAATAAAGAGTATTATTATAATTGTTTAATTGTTAGATGTGGGGTTGGTTGTTGGCCTTTGGAATTGGTTGCCTTCAATGTTGTGGAAGCAGTAAATTTAAGTAAGTTTAAGAGAAAGCTTGATAAATATATGAGTGGTAAGGGCTGGCTTTAAGATTTTTTCTTTAATCTATTTATTAATAGTTTTAGTTTAGTTTAGAGAAAGGAACAGCCAAGATATGTCCCAAGTTGTCCCAAAATGTTGTTATATGTTATGTTAATATTTCTTTGTTTAACACAAGTTATACAATTACAACAAGAGGATTATCTGTAACTCTGAAAAGATGTCATGATCTACAGAGTTCAATGCTAAGGATATGATTTGTTACCAACAGCTCTAGATACTTGTACAAAGACATTATGTATGACAAAGAAAGAGATGACATAAAAGAAAAAGATTAAGCTTAAAAACTGGGTAGTTTACTTACAATGTGAATATCTTATTCCACTCAGGAGCCAAAGTTTTATATTCTGTATGAGTCTGCAGTCGAGAATTCACCAGTTCTACCACACAAAAGGGGTCGCTCTTACCCCCAATGTCAGCTGCCGCTAATCCTTGAGCTTTAAATACTGTATCAAAAAGTAATAAATATCATTATATCCTTTGATGCCAGCAACATGTACCTAATTTAAGATATGTGAAAAGTGTTACAGTCATGACTGTTTTTTCTTAGTTATCACACTCACTTGAGAATTGACAATATTATCATAATCTTTGACTACTCATATCATCTACAATTAATTTTGACTTTCAAAAGATGTTACACATATAACAGCTTATAACCACTAAAATCAGTCACTACTTACATAGTGAATTAGACTGGAATTTTGCCAATTGTTATTGTCATCTTGTTTAGAATCATTCAATTAAATCAAAGTTGTAAAATAAAATATGAACAACAAGGAATCATTTGATTCTTCAAGGTTGTCCTTGCACTGTCAATCACTCTATTAGTAAAATAAAACTACCTTAAATGAAGCCTAGCCTGCAAAATCTTAAGCTTGTGTCCTCTCATCCTATTGACTTCATAATATAGCACAAATAAATCAGGGGTCTTTATCCTGATAATCCCTTGAATAATCCTGTGAAGTTCAATAGTATTATCTCTTAAATTTATTTTTTCAAGAGAAAACAAGTTGAGAGATCATAATATATCTCTATATGATAATCCTTTCATCCACAAAATCATCATAGAAACCCACCTCTGAACCCTTTTAATAAGTCAATGTCCCTTCTAAGATAAGGAGACCAAAATTGTACAGAGTATGCCAAGTAAGGCTTAACTAGTGATTTGTATAAAGAGATAATTACCTCTTTTGACTTGTAGTTGATACATCTATAAATACACCCAAAATTTTTAATAGTTTTTTACTACTAACAGAGCACTGCCTCAATGGCTTCAGTCATTAATCAACCACTATGCCAGTATCTTTTTTTTTTTTTTTTTTTTTACTTAGTCACACTTTTAAGTGGGTTCCGATCTATATTAAATGTTTCTTCCAAATTATTTAATATTAACTTCTGATCAAAGCAAGCTACCTACTTATCATGAAGCCAAAATTAATCTGGTAATCGATATAACTAATTAAATATACTGTTCTTACTTATAAAGATTAAAATGCATTAATTGTTTCATCAGTTGGGTACCTTTGCTGTTAGTGATATTTTTGGCCACAAACCCAGAAATATCTCACAAGGTTCAGCCAACTTAAGAGATTTAGGTTAGTTCTAAATCCAAATACTAAGCTAACAATGGAAAAAAATATCTATAATAAAGATATAATAAAAACAGATATAATAAGCATTCTCACCAATACTGTTATATCTTACTTTTAGAACACATAAACATTAATTGTTTGCTTTATATATTGTTGTAGGTTTAATGTTTGTTGAAAAACTTGCCATCCTTCTGTACAGTGTAGACCAATTTCTGCCATATTACTCATGAAGATGTTCACCATAGCTTGATATATTACACCTAATTTTGGTCATATATTGTTTTTGAAGATGTTCAACACAGCTGTGTTTCTGCTATATTACTCCTGATTATAGTCCTATATTTTTCTTGATGATGTTCAACATAGCTGTGTTTCTGCTATACTACTTTTGAATATACACAACACAAGTTTTTTGAGTTAACTACAAAACAAAACTAAATATGAACAAATATTTATATATATTTATATATATATATATAA